GGAAGAAAATAAGCCATAAATGCAGAATCCAGGAAAATGTCACGGAGGTAAGAGGTAGAGTGTAGGGTAAACTGAGGCAGGGAATTCAGAATGGAGGCTGTGAGCAACAGACAAGTAGCTGCATGGCTGTGGAGCTGGCTTGCTAACTTCAAGAATGTCAAGACTCAAAATACTACAGTTTGGTGATTAATTTTACTGAGATTGTTTTAAATATTTTTATGATGCCAACAGGAAGACCTGAATTTTACTTTCATTATCTAGTTGACATAATCAGTTTCTGTTAATAAAAGGGAGTTATGGGCAAAAGAAAAGAAAATTGAAATAAATAAATAATAAAAGAAAGAAAAGAAAATTTGACATAGTAAAGATTATGTTTGTCTGGAGTTCACAGAGCATGCCTACACAATAAATAATGAACTTGGCCTCCTTATTGGCCTGTGGAGGCAAAAAAAAGAATGTCCAGAGAGGGTCATGTGGCAACAGATTGCAGCTTGGAAGTCATATGTGCAGATAACCCACTCTGCTTGCAAGCAGAATAGGGGAAGAACACATTTTATATAAGTACAAAAATGAGTATCTCAATTAGAGACAAATATATGGAGCCAAAGAGCCAAATGCAGTTAGATAGTTAAAATGTTAAAGGAGTTCAGAAACTTGACCAGTTCTTACAATGATCAAGCAGGGCTGACCAAAGCAAGCATGGTTACATGGTGAATGATTATGGCTCTGAGTCACATGGACCTGGGGCCTTCCCTTGCCAGAATCTGTCACACCCAGTTTCAATACCCAGCATGTCAGGCTCTGTGTCTCCCAGCAGCTTTTGTCTGTTTCTTAAAACCAAACACCTAAGATTTACCATCATGAGGATATTCTAATAAAGTTGGCCCAGATGCAGAATATAAAGGAATCAATGGAGCACTCTGAGGAATTCCCATCTCATGAGAATAAATATGTACTCACCAAAAGAGATTTCTTACACCAGGACATATGCCCAATTGTATCTAAAAGTCCTGGTATGTTTAGTTTTTTAATAAAGCTTATTGTTTTGTAAATATACCTCATCTATCCCTTGATATTTCTTAGCTGTGGTTTCCATTTATAACTGTCCTTGGGTTAGCCTCTCAATGGAATAGTTATCACTCCATGAGTTTGCATCACAACACTGGAAGGAGAAGGTGACCTAAATAAGACAGAAGGAAGGTGATTCTAGGCTAACCCCTTCTACCAAAATCTCTTTCCTTCAATCCAGTTTTGGATAATATCAAAATAGCCACCCTGAAATTCTTCTATTATATTGTATCCTTTTGCCAGAACGTACAGTGATGCCTGTCTCCAGCTCTTAGGCAGTGAATATTAATTGGGTGTCTATTGTATACCAAGTACTGCTGCAGCAAGAGTAAGATACAGCAATTCCTACTTCCGTGAAGCTTGAAAAATGCTGGGGAAAATGTTAATAGCAACTAGAATTGTCAGGATAATTTCAGTAGGGCAAAAATCCATATATAGTTTCTTCTTTTGGCTTCCAAAACATTTTTCTGGGCACACAGTAAGTGCTTAATATGTACTTATTGATAATTTATAGGCAACATGGAGATAACAAAGAGATCATTTATTGCTGTAGAAAAAATAAACATATGAACAATTTACTAATACTGAATGGATTAGACAGCTACTGACTCTTACTATCCATGTGGTTAAATATTTAATACCAATATTAACATCCAAGTAAATTAAGAGAACTTCTCATTATGCCATAATCACGAGTGCATTTATTTGTCTAACAGACATAGGCCCTGTTACAGTTGGTGGGGGATATAAGAGTAACTGGACCCATTCCCAACCCTTCAAATATCACTGCCTCTGTGGGGAAGATGGAAAATAGACACAGGCAATGGAAAGATGACATCAAGCTCCAGGCGTCATTCCCTGTCCAGGGCTCTGTAGATGTATAGAAGGTAATTGCCCAACCTGGTCTCTGTGGTCACGAAAGGCTTCTGACAAGTAGTGACATTGACATCAAGTGAAACAGGGAAGAGGGTTTGAGGCTAAGGGGATCAGAGTGTACGCAGTATTCTAGAGGAGAAAAAGTATGGCATATGAATGTCTACAATTGCAGCTCTTTGAATCACTGTCTAGCCAATGAGATAATGCTTTATCTTGATAGTAAAAAAGAAAATGTTTTCTTAGAGAGCCTCTGGACAGCCCTGAGCTCCTGCTTCAGCAGTATTACCCTCTCCCAGTTCTCCACTCTCCCCTTAGCAGACTTTTCCCTTGTCTTTGTTAAACGTTCATCCATTCAGTACACTTTCAATGAACACCTACTATGTGAAGGCCCATGGTAATCCCAGGGAGTACAAAGAAAAAAAAGAAAAGTACCCATCCCAAGTTTGCATAAAAGTGTGGGAGATAATTATTGTGCGTGTGTGTGTGCATAATCATTTTAAAGTGTGATCCCTATAACTCTTCAAACTGAAGGGGATGTTCAGTAATTGTCTGACTTTGGAGTTGTTTTTTTTTTTAATATGGCGTTCAGCTAGTGAACCCTGATGCAGTCTTTTACTGCTTCACTCAAAAATATGTGACGATGCAAAAAAGGACTCCTGCTGGTTTTGGAAATTAGGATGGTGCTCAACTAGGAAAACTAGGATTGATAGTCCCAAAGAAATGAGAAGACTTTCCAGAATCGAAAAGACTCATGTAACTTGCTTGATGAACACAGTATATAATGTAAGAACAGTGTCATATACTAGCCAGCCTGGAAAGCATTTGGACCTCGGCACCTTCTGTCCTCTAGCTTAAAATCACAGGTGCTTTTAAGCCTAAAAATAGAGCAGCTATCCCTCTACTCTACTGCTGATGGTTGGATTTTGTGGTTTTGATTTTTGTTTTGTTTTTTGGCAGCAGCCAGTTAGTTTAATTTCCATTCCCATCCCCCATCCATGACCCTGTCCCTAGCTTCCCTTTCAGTTCAATCCATTTGAGGCCTGCCGACCCAAGAAGCCACCCGGGCAGGAAGTCTGAGCTAGGATGAATGGTGATGGCTTGTCTTCTGAGCATCCTGAATAAAACTTTTTTAAAAACTTTATTTTATTATAAAGATGTGGGGTCAGGTCGGGGTTAGGTACATAAGTAATCTACATGCAGGTAAAGTTTGGGCCTCCAACTGGTGCATACTTCCCCTGGTTTAGGACCAGGTACCCTTTGTGTTAAGTGCCCACATGCTCCCACCCCTGGCAGTGTCCTGTGACCACCTATACCTCCCTTGTGATATTGTGATTAATGTTCAGGTCCCACTTATAAGTGAGAACATGTGGTAATCGGTTCTTTATTTCTGTGATAGATAGCTACCTATGACTGTCTCCAACTCCATCCAATTTGCTGTGTAGTCCTTGACTTTATCCTTCTTTATGGCTGTGCAATATTCCATTATATATATGTACCACATTTTCTTTATCCAGTCTACTTTCTTTTTTTCTTTTTTTAAAGCAGGATTTATTAAGAGAACAGAAAATCTCCCACAGTGGGAAGGAACCCAAAGGAGTTACCCCAGTCTATTTTCGATGGGCAGTAGGGTTGGTTCCATGTTTTTGCTATTGTGAATAGTACAGCAATAAATCTGCATGTGCAGGTGTCTTTTTGTAGAACAATTTGTGTTCCTTTGGGTATATTTCCAGAAGGAGGTTGCTGGATTGTATAGAAGGTCAATTTCTAGTTCTTTTACAAATCACCACACTAGTTTCCATAGAGGTTGGACTACTTTACACTCCCACCAACAATATAGAAGTGTCTCCTTCTCTCCGCACCCGCTCCAGCATCTGTTGTTTTTCGTTATTGATTAATGATGACCGTCCTTACTGGAGTTAGGTGGTATCGCAATGTGGTTTTGATTTGCATTTCTGTGATGATTAGTGAGACTGAGCATTTTTTCATGTACCTGTTAGCTGTTCTTATGTCTTCTTTTAAAATTTGGTCCGTTTGTGTCCTCTACCCATTTTTCAATAAGGCTGTCGCATTTGAGTTCCTTGTAGATCCTAGATGTCAGGCCTTTGTCAAATACACAATTAGCAAATATTTTTCCCCATTCCATGGGTTGTCTCTCCACTCTCTTGATGGTTTCTTTTGTTGTGCAAAAGCTTTTCAGTTTGA